TCACACATCGCGACGCTGCACCCTGAACATATTTAGCGCACTTGGAACACGAAAAACCAAGGCATTTTAACAAACCAAATACATTATTCTTGAAAGCAAATACAATCCCCCTCCCTTCAGCGATCAAACCTGCAACCAGCGACTAAAAATAACCCCCTCTCTGGAGTTCCTCAACATCCCATGGGCTCTTGACTATGACGCGCTATGGGAATTTTCGTTGGCCCCCCCTTGGCTGCAAGTAGTAAAGTGCAGAAGCTCCCATTACATCGAAAAATTCGTTCACCCACCCGGGAGATCCTTTACCACGAACTCCACGCACGTCATCATCCCTCTGGCTAAAATCTTCTCTTGGTACTTTCCAGTACGAAATGCCACCTAGCGTAGAAAGTCGAATCATGGAAGCAGAACTTTCTATCTTTGAACCAAACTATTGCACCAAAATGCCTCGATGAGTTGGAACAGCACCCCTTTTTGTTGGTCGCCATTATGTATCGTTTGGGTGAGGACTGACTTTGACGTTCAGGTATCGTCAAGCTGTGGGTGAAGCTTTTTGGGAAGCTCCAACATTATATGCATTCTCATACATAATAATCGTGCTAGGATGCTGTATGATCGTTATTTCGTTCGTTGGTGAGTAATATGTTGTTCAGCTTGGTGTATTTCTGCTATTAAGAGAAAAAAATGTTTCAAGTATGATTTTCCATCGCTAGTCCATATAGGTAGGGGTTTGATGCAGAACATCCAAGGTCTCTGAAACCGTGAGAATGGGCCCCGAGGATCAGATTTTTGCGTGAGCCTGGAATGTAACGTTAAACCGATTACTTCTTTCGGAGAAGGATTCTTCATAAAAACTGCCCTCCTGCAAATAATGTTCAAGCGTGGGATAGGACCGGTTTTTTACTGAACAAAATCGTGCTGAGAACCGCGGTAAACCCACTTGCTTTGATCACCCAGTGATTCTGGCGTCAATGACATCATCGTCCTTCTTGTCGTATAACAGAACAGCTGACTAGAGCAGCCTTTTTGATAGCGTTCATACTTCGCGATCCATTCGCTCGAGCGATCCAGTCGCATAATCCGAGCGAAGTATATCGAGTGACCCGGTCAGCGAGAGATGCGAGACTTCGTAAAAGCTAGCTTGTACTCGAACTTGCCAAATTATTGCGAAGCTCTTATGACTTCCGAATCTTTATCAAAGTTGCAATCTCCGTGATCTTATAACTCTGTAAAATTATGTGCTCCTACTCCACCCGCGTTTGCGTGAATTGCAAAAGTCGAATTATTACAGTTTCAGTAGTGCATTGGGTAATGCACCGATTGTTTGATATCACGCAGCCTGTCTTTCAATCAAAGTTTGCTCCTTATCCAGTTTACCTGCCCCCTCCCCCACTCCTCCAGGCTCCAGGATTCGCTGGTTTCTCGATTTTTTGATATCCACCAGTTGATCGGAAATCACCCTTCTGCTTGGTCGATGTAAGGGGAGGGTCGCATTTTGGAAAGCTTCTCATCGGAATAATCCCACTTGTTGTCTATGGTCATTTTACAGTTTGTCCTTATCATTTCCGAAACAAATTTGAAATTGGCCGGCGGTTAACTTTGTGGGTATTCAGTTATCTTTAAACTGAAATTTTCAGGTTGCTGCTTCGGAAATGGCGGGAACCGAGCTGTACTTATATGTTACGCCATAGCATTGTTTCTTCTTCTTATAGGAACTCTGAGCTGCGGAATATATCTGTTTTATAAGAAGGATGGGGTCTGTTTCTACCTTTTTCTCCTTGTTCGTAGAGTAACGTGTGTTTGCTCTGGTACAAAAGTTCCTTCTACATTCGGTCTGAACGCCGTGCAGGAAATATAGTGTTCAGTTCAGGTTGACGTGGAGCTATCAGATGCTTTGAATTATATGGTACAACACTATTATCAAGGTGCAGGCGTTGTACAGGAGTCTCTCGATCACCTACAGACTACTTTTCGCTGTTGTGGTCAGTCTAGTTTTTGTCGAAATTTTCGAGGCGCAGGCAGCGACAGGGATGGAGCATTTTGCACATTCGGAGGTAGTTCGGCGTCGGGGGGCATCTTGCTTTTTTGCTGCCATCGACGTGTCGATCCATAAAGAGAGCCCTTTGGTTATAACAGTTGACATTTACTGCCATGATGGCTAGACGAGCTTGCTCCAAATTCACAAGCGTTACCAGGTCTAACCAGAGTGAATCTTGTAAACGGGACTAGTGCAGCAGCGAAAGCGCAAGATGCCCCCCCCCTCTTCGTCGGGACAAACTGCGCTCTCTCCTCTGCCGCTGCTTCCTTTGCCCCATTGCCGTGTCGAGTTCCTAAGCAGAGACCTGTGAAAACTCGTGTGGTAACAGTCGAGGTCTATAGAAAGTACTCGTCAACATTAGTAAAGGTGACCTGTTAATTTTTCTAAAGCGAAGAACACGACAGCTGAAAGAAATAAAGTAATGCCCCTCCCAAGTGGCCAATTCCGAATTGTTAAGTTCGAACTTCGAGAAATTCGAGTAATTTTTGAGACACTCACATATTACCTCCAACATCATATTGCATAATAACGTGAAAATCTCCTGAACACCTCTTACAAGATACGCTTTGAAAGGGTTCTTTTGAAGGAAATGCTGGATGTGCTGATTTTCGTGTCTTTCGTCAAGATCCTCCACGTTCTTGTGATATACGGTGTGACGGATGCCACTATAGGTACTTCACTATTTCATTTTACTGTTCTCCCCATGAAGGAAGGTGTCATTTTTAGAATTTGGGTCGCCCTCAGTATAGGTCTGTCAATAACGTTGATAGTTTTCTCTGCTGTCATCCTATGCATCGTCCTTGCGTTAGTCTTTTCTCTTTACCTTCTCTTCAATCCACCAAAGCAAGTCCGTGTGGTGAGTTCTTAGTCGCTAATTATACTTTTTTTCTACTTTGGAAACTTAATTGTCTTCTTCGCCGCAGCACTTGGCCACAGCCTTGCCTCTGGCGCTGTTCGGCTTGGGGGAAGGGGTATTTTCACTTTCGCAAGTTTCTGCTGCCAGCTCCTGCTAGATTACGCGTTTCGCCCGAGAGTCGGGCAAGAGAATCGTAATTTGCCTCCGCCGCGCGCGGCGATGGGTGCGGCGTTTTCTTAACTCGTGTTAACTGCCGCTTGGAGCACCGGACTTCATGTAGACATCGTAGACATTCATGACCATTTCCGGTCTGAATTGCCTGTTGTCGCCATCTATGACCTGGAACCATCGTCATTTGCTGGCGCGAATGGTTCACATGTATCAATTCGCAGGTTCCCAACAGTTTGCAGTTGTCAGCCGTTGACATGCGCTAACGGGAGGAACTAGCGAAAGTGCGAAATCCCCTGCAAGCCGAGCAGCGCCGATAGATCTTTGACGAACATGTTTTCATTCATTTTTCATTCGAGTTGGACAAGCCGCCACCCAACTATGTATTCGCTGACATAGTAGTGTGGGGAAGCTAACACTGCGGTGGGCCCTCCCCCCTCCCCCCCCCAAGCTATGCGGTGGGCCCTCTCTCCTCCCAGCTACGTTAACACCAAAAGTCTAACCATATCGGTGGCTATGCCTTGTCCGATAGTAGTTCACAAGTTTCGTGCAAGGCTGCCCGAGCTAACCACGACCTTGTGAGCTTTTCTGGAACTTTTTTCCTGTCGTGTTACCAAATTATTTGCGAATATATTTTTGAATCCTTCATCAATTCGTGCCGGAATGCACTGTTTTCAGGTCAGCGTTCCTCATAAAAGAGTTGCGAGACCGACTTTGAGGAGAGAGGACATCCAGCGTCACAACCTTGCCTACGACCGACGTAGAAACTGAAATAGTAATTGCTTGCAAGTTTTTCGGTTACAAACAAGCTCTTGAGCACGTCAAGTAATCACCGTTCAATTTCTTCGGATTCCTTCGATTTGCGCCGGGCCCGAGATATCCTGTGCTTTGTAGATAAGTTTCCAATAATATATCGCTGGTTGACTACTTTGAAAATAAATTCTTTGTTCGTTAAAAATGTTCATTATTGAATTGTTTCTCGTCGTATTATTGTTTTTTCTGTACTGTATATCTCCACATCTTGATGCACTTAAGTTAAACATATCTTTGGGAGCTCAACTTCTTTCACTTTTCACTTCAGTCCGTCGTTTCTTTCATTTCACCTTGCGCATTTCTTCTCTTCATAATTATTCACTTTTTCTTTCTCTTCATGATTACTCACTTCTGGAAATTACTTAGTTTTGTGCAATATTTAAGAGCTCATTATTGGTTTTGTCAACAGTGATAGTGATAAAAAATGTGCAATATCCTATGTGTGAGGCACGCGAAAGGATACAGTCAAACGAGAGCTCACAACAGATTTTGTTTGGAAAGTTCGCCACCTGGGAGCCAACTGGTGCTGAGAATTCGCTGTCCCCTCTGATCAGCGTGGACAATTTTTTAATGTGTGGATTTCCTAGGGCATTTAAAATTTCAATACAATCTTTATTTCTATTAACTTCACAATCATTGTCACTGAGGTATAAATAAACAAGTAAAAATACAATAAACTCATAAGAACAACGTAAATAAGAAAAGAAAAGTGATTGAAAGATCAAATCGTGTGACTGAGTTGCAGAAATCTCGTCCAGAGCATAGACAGAGCTTTTCGCCTGTGGAAAGCTCCGTTCGGCATCCTTCCGGATGATAGGCATGGATAAGAGAGTCATGGGGTAGACATGTCATTGCTGTCGTCACACCACGAATCGGATGCTGCCTGAAAATTCAAATTCTGAGCCTATGGAATTGTCTCTAGGGCTTAGGGTTTCTGAGAAAAAGATGCACAAGTGGCCAGCAGTGCTATGGTTCTGCTCAGATTGCGGGAAGGAATTTGCAGTTCCGAACTCTATGTATGGAGGCGGTCCCCGTTTAGCTATGCGCCGTTGCGAAAACCATGCTCAAAATTTTCTATATTCAAATGCTTGAAAGAATCTGTAGTTCCGAACTCCGTAAAGAAGAGGGATTGTCCCTTTGGCCCCCTCGAAGATAAATTGGACAGGACACATACGACTATTTGATGACTGCTGGACCAGTGTTTAGTGAGTGATCACATGAGGCGTCAAACGAACACCAGATCTACCACCAACCCTTGGTCACACTTCACGAAAGCTCTGCATGGCGTCGTGTTCCTCGAAGCAGGAAAGTACAATTGACTGTTACCACCTGCAACAGGGACGAGTGGAAGCGTTAATGGCACTCGCTCGAGGAACTCGATGGTCAGTGGCATGATCTCTGATACAGATAGTGATGATGTGTCTTGAACTCCACCGTACCTTTACAAGTGAGCCCCATACACCATACCCTTAAAGGTAAGCCTCATACCTTGTAGATGTAAAGGGGCGTGGTTTAAAGGTTTGGTGCTTAGCTGTGAGCGCCCCAGCTGCAGCGTATCTGTCGCGTATTCAGGAAAATTTTTGCGAAATACGCCACCCTTTCCCCCCTCCCCACCAACTCAGAATTCCTACTCTGGTACCCTCTCCTTCCCATCTCCCATCCTACCTACCAGCTTCCCAAATTTTTCCAACTTTCTACCACTTTGTCGAGTTCTCCTTCCTTCCCAATTTCCTTCACTTTCCCAAACTTTTCCCAAAAAAGGGGCGGGAGGGAGGAGGAGGAGCAGCAGGTCATTTGCGCACTTGAAACAGGAAAGACGAGAAAAGTCAACAACCAGAAACAAAATTCAACAACTGAAAACATTTTTCTCAAAGGCGAGTACGAGGCCTCACCCCTTCAGTGGTCCAATACGACCCCTTTCCTCGTCGCTGGGGATCTCGAACGTACGACGGGCTTGGTTACCGGTTTGGACGGAGAGGGTGAGAGGTGTGCCGATTCTCCTGGCCGGGTCCGCGCTCATATATGCTATAGTCTCCAAGCAGGGACCTGTCTGCTTGGAAATGCGACTTCGGTATCTCAACATCCTGTTCTGTCCCACTTACTGGTAATACACAACAAATCAGGCTTCATTGAAAATTCCGCAGGAGTCTATTTCTCTTTTTCATGCATTTTTGGTGCAAGTTTTCAGTGACAAGTGACGCCGCTAAATACCAGCACGGTCTGAGGTCGAGCTTTGGCTCGGCTGCCGCATGAATCAATCATGCCTTCCACCCGCAATGAGAGGTGATTTGGGGTTAAAATCGTCTGGGAATATAAAATACCGACTTGCAGAGTGCATGGTCCCCGAATGTATCATTTTTCTATAGACCGAATCACATTGAAAAGTCAGAGCCATTACGAATGGGAATAGGATGCATGACGCATTCAAAAGAGGTACACTTGTTCAAAGCTCATTCCTTCACTTTTGTTTTCATCCACATGTATTAGGGGTGGGATATATAAAACGTGCTGAACTAGATAGTTTCGAGAATGGAAGGCTACGACTAAAAATTTACCTTTGGACGCGAAGGCATGCTGCACCCTCACAAAATGAGCAGGTTGAATCGCAGTCGCTGCCGTCGATACACCACAAGCAGAGACCTAAAATCGGGTAATTCGTACTGCATATCAATTTCACGCGAAATTCAAGAAACATTTAGAGTCCATATTTTTGAGATGAAGTATGCGTGGCTGCGTAGTTCATTTGAACGTGACGTCGGATGCGCTTTTGGTGGGATATTGCTGTTTTGGAACAATTGTAATAATGCTTGTTTGACCAACACAAGCAGGATGACAGCTGCCTCAAATGGAGATAAACAGCGCTAACATCCTAGGTCATGTTCCAAATCTGTACGCGGCCACGTCTTCCCCATTGCAGGGATATGAAAAGTGGATGTTGTCGGATTAACGCACTATATGCCGTGTGAAGAAGGAATTTTCGAGTAGTCGTCAGGTTGCCTTACCATTTTCAAAAAATGATGATGGCATGAAGTGGATGAGAACTTCAACGCTATGACCTCACCACTGCACCTTCCTACATTTTCAACGGAATAAATGACAATGTCTCACTTATCCCGAGCCCCTCCCCCCGCCCCTTGAAAATCACAGGCTCACAGAGGACTGTAGAGTTACTTCCGCACACCCTAATGTACACCGGGCTATTTATGACTTCTGCCAACAGGTAACATAACATGACGTGCAGTCAGCTACCTTAGGCTTTAGAAAAAAGTCAAAATATTAGAGATGTCACGCCATGATATACACTCCTTATCCCTGAGACAGAGTAGGCGTGGCTTTTCAGCATGGCATAGGACGACCTACTCGTGGGATACTTCAATTTGAGACAACTGCCATTTTGCTCTATTTCAGATAGAGACATGATTACAACTGTCCCAAAACGAAAATATCGCACGAAAACCTGGGCCGCCGTCACTCTAAACTCAAGTACGCAGCCACGCCTACCCGATCTCAGGGATTTCGAGTTTATGTCATGACTAGGGCATATGTTCCGAGTCATAGAGCAAGCACACTACATACGTGGTCTCTTCGAGGTTACAAGGATGTTCATATGACGAAGCTCGCCCGAGGAGGTCATTAGGCCCACTGCCGGTGTATTTCGTGAAGAACTGTGAACAAAGAGTGAGGCTACGAAGAGGGGTCATTTCTAGGCTATTGGCAGGGGCCATTTCTAGGCCATTCCTCGACTTTTCCTGAGTTAGACGACATTCAGTAGAGAAGTGAGAAGAAAGACTCGTGAGTCAGGGAAATGAGAAGTTTTGCCTAATTCGAAGGAGGAACTTAACCTTAATGGGTGAGCCTTGTTGGAAAAAAGATTCGCAGATGAAACTCGTAGCTTTTCGTAGTTTCATCGCAGTCAACAAAAATCTGCAAAAATGCCCTCTCCTACCTTCCTCTTAAGCTGTACCGCGCCGCTCTCATATTATCAGGAGCGACTCTCTTACTCCATGGCCGAGACCGAAAGGACTGGAAACTTGGCAAAGAAAGTATGGTCTCAAATGGATCGTCAGTCTTCTCAGACATCATGTGGGAGCAGGGGCTCGACCCTACCTGGCATCTTATTTTACGCTGATTTAGTGCGTTTTAATCCCATCGTCTGCATGTAAACTGAGTCTTCCCCCACACATTTTCAAAAAATAGAGGGCCAGTGATCGGTCGGCTGCCGGCCGATCCGACTAGCCGTTCTCGAATCCATTTGCTCTTTTTACCTACTTTTCCCCTTCGTCCGCCTACTCGCTGCGTTCCCCACATTTTCTATACATTTTCTATTTCTTTTCTCTCCGAGCTCTTTTGGAAGGGAAATACGAATTTTTGAAATTCTAGTAGGAAGCACCGCCTACTCATAGTACGCCCTGCCCATATGGGTGTGTCATTAACATTTCGTGCGCCAACTTATTGCCTATCGTTTCCCAA